TAATAATTTTCTTAATTAAAACTTTAGAATAACTTTATTTTAATATATTATTGTAAAAATTAAAAAAAAATTATATTCAATTCAATTCAATTCAATTTAATTTGATCAATTTGATTTGATTTGATTTGATTTGACAAATATTTGATTTGATTCGATTTGAAAAAATTAAATCAAATTCAAGTTGCTTAAATATTTGATTTGATTCAATTTTGAGGAACCTTATCTCTCAGAACTTGGTCCAGACATCTGCTAGACTAAGTACATCAGTCTTAAGATAGAGATAATGATACTCACCTAAATTTTGACATCTGAATTCCTTCCATACATTCTAGGCATGTTGGTAATCTTTTTGTGTAATTGCATTACAATCATTTCCCTTTATAATCACACCCTTTGGGACCAAAAATAAAAAGTGTGATTATAATAAAAAGTTACTATATAGGAGGATTTTTATTTATTGTTACTAAGCGTTGGTTCTGAAAGGATGTGACTATAAAAACATTGTGATTATAATAAGATTTTTTTATATTGCATTATTAGGTATTGGTTCTTACGAAATGTATGCTTATAATGAGGAATTTATATAATATAATTATACAGGAGGTGACTATAGAAGGGGACGACTGTACCTAAAGAGCTATGGAATTCATGAATTGGAGGAAGTTCTGTCTCTTGAAACCTATCATGAGAATCAATATATTTGTAAGGATAAACTCCTTTATGACATACTAGAGAAATTTGTTTGGGTGAGAAGTCTTTGAAGTATTAGCTTGTGATAAAATGGTTGTCACCCAAATTCTTCGTAAGATTGGCTAAACTATTATTCATAAACTACATACTACCAATATACTTGAGCTGGTCTACCTTCATAGACTTATATCACTAAAATGTTTTGGCTATAACTTGGATATGAAGAGCATTAGCTGATCATCCAACTGGCTCACAAACCAAGTGAGAGTCATAGCCTTAGAAGTTATGGAATATGACTGAGACTGGGGTCTTCCAATCCTATATCTGAAGTTTGATTACAATCCCTATAGGCTGATTCACGAAACTTTCCTGTGATATGGCAGTGACCTCAGATCTTATTAGTCTTAGCTTTTCGCTGGTAATAGTTTTAGTTACCTTATTAATAGTTTTTAAATACTATTATATTCTGCTGACTCTTTTTTAAAACTTTTTAGCTTTTCTTTAAGATAGGTTATTTTATCATCTAAGTGCTCAATTTCATCTATATTTATATTGAATTTACTTTTATAAATCTAATAGCTAATAGCATCAGCAAATATTTTCTTGTCTTCTTCAGTCACAATTCGATCATGTTTGATAGCTAGGACCTCATTGATTTTGACCAGCTTCTGATCGATTCTTCAAATGAATTCCTGTGTGGCATTTTCTCTCCTGTATAGGAATGGATTCAATATATTTCCAATATCGATCTAGTAGACTAGGTAGTAGAAACTATTAGCCTTCTATTCAGCAAGTTTTCGCATGCTTCCACCATATTTTTCATCACATTTTTTATTGTCAGCCTCAAAATCAACTATAATAACACATGAAGCATTGATCATTCAGCCATAGTTTTTGAATTTCTCAAAATTATTTACTCTTTTCACTGGCATTGTGACTCTCTGAAGAGTATTTTTATGTATTCCTGAATACTATTCTAAGTGATGTTCTAGAGAATTTTCAGAAGGCCAGCTTATAGTTTATCCATTACATAGATACTTCTTTTCTTTATAAGCAGTATCCCCATAAATTAATCTACTGGGATTTTTAATCCAAAGAAAATGGTTCTTTTGCCTATACTTACCTGTCTCATCATCTTTGGTAATATCTGTAAGAGCAAATAGACGAATTTTATGTTGTCACTTAAAGTTCTTACTAGCTATTACTAGTTTTGAAATGGCTGTTTCTTTATTCCATTCACAGACACTAATAGAGATATCTAAATTCATCTCCTCAATCTTTTGAAAGGTTCGTGAACAAATTGGAGTAGGCATTGGAATTCCTCTAGCTTAATAACATCTAAGTAGGATTTAAGCTATTTAGCTCTAAAAATTCGTTCAAGATGATCTGTATATCCATCCTGATGAGTGAAGTAGAGGTCTACTGCACTTTGAAGATAGTTTTCAGAAGGTCTATTTTTTTCTGGATCAATGAGACCTTTATTATCTGAATTGATTGTACACTTTGTATTGGAGAGATTTTTGGAAGTACCAATGTGTGAACCTCTAAGAGTTTATTAATAAATATATACCTCAATAAATATCTTATCAATTTAAATAAGTATCCAAACAGATCTATTACTAAGAAACTTATCAATTTTCTTATCTATTTCTAAGCTAAAATGAGATATCTGTTTATCTATATCACTTTCAGAGAGAATTATACGTAATTCTTTTCTATGATATTTCTCAGCAAATGTATATATTATTTTTTTGGTAATTTTATTCTCTTTCATTTTATAGTATTTACAGTATACGACTAATGCTGATTTTATTTGATCCTTTCTATTAAGCTCTGTTTGATAACTCTTGTAATTTTTTCTCGAGCTGATACTATTAGTTGAGATATATATGAGACTTCAGCATAATCTGCTCAATTTACTATATTATTAAAAGAATATGCTAGGTTTGCTATTCTAGGAACTATAGCTTCCCAGTTGCTTAATGATTGCAGATTTCTATGTGGTCTATTTGAATCTTTAGCCTTTTTTTCTCAAAATGTATATCACCTTCTGGAGCATGGCTTTCTGAATTACTAAGTATAGTTAACCCTTTAATCTGCTCTGTCATCCTTTCTGTTTGTGTTTTTTCTATCATACCCAGCTTCTTAAGAAGTTCTATATCACTTAATTACTTCACAAGTTTCTTCTGAATACTCTTACTCTCTTGAACATCTTCCTTGTGAGCGTTATGTTGCTCAACTACACTAGGTCTCTCCTGAGCGTCTTATTGCTCAACCACATTAGATCCCTTCTTTTAACTAGAAGTCTCAAGAGCTTGGGTAATTACTTGAGATTTTTCTCATCTTCAATCCTTTCTTTGGGTATGAACTATTGGAATAGGTGATTTGGGTCTAGGAGGTGAAACATGTGTTAGTCAAACAGAATTGGATATTAATATTTGAATAGGCTTTGGTTTAATAATATATTCAGATAAATTTTGATGACATTGATATTTTCTTTTTCAATGACATTATTGTTTCAAAATTTGGAAAAGATTTTATTACATCTATCACAACTATAATTAATTATTGTAGTATTACACTTGATATATAATACTTATAAAAAGTTTTTCTTTAAATATTAATTATATCTTGTAGGTTTTATGTCTTCTAATACTATAACAGATTGCATTTTAAGGCCCTAATGAATAGTAAATAGTCTATTAAAATTTTGGTATTCTGTTCAGAATTTTGATACCCATTATCATTTTTTTAACTTGGTGTTTATGAGAAAGGAATGGCTCTAGAATTGATTCTTATATATTGTGAAATTATTGGTATACTGGAATGTAATTTATAGTTTTTAAACTTTATTATATATATACAGAATTTTGATACCCATCTTAAGGTGGGTACTGAAATTATGATTTTATTAGATGAATATGAATCTGCTTTAGAATTTATTCTAGGATATTATGAAAATATGATATGCATTTTAGATTTGTATGATCAGGTTCAGCTCAAATCACGTCACTTTGTTTTTTGGTTTTTAATAGCTTCTTCAGGGGCAAGCAGAATAGCATAAAAGTTATTATTCATATTGAGTTTGCAATGTTAGGTCTAGCTCAAATCACAGCACTTCGTTTCTTGATTTTGATAGACTCTCTAAATGCAAACAGAATAGTAAAAAATTTTTGATATATTATTTGAGATTAAAATTAGGCTAGAATAGCTATATCAAACAGTACAATTCTTAATATCTGAAGGCTAATTCCTAGCCAAGTTCGATATCATCATCTATATTTGAGTTAAATTACACTAGAAGCTTAAATTTGATAATTTGATTCATATATAGCTAAAATAAATTCGTAGACGGTTAGAAATCTTATTGAGCATTATTTGGAATTTTGTCTCAGAATCCCCAATTTTACCCTACTATAGTATAATAAAAATATTTAAATAACAGAATATATTCAATTATATTTTGTTAAATATATAAATTTTAGACTATTATATTTAAATTTTTCTTAGTGTAAATTTTACTTTTTTTTTGGTAAGGTATAAATTTTTTAGCATTAGACCATAAGGAATATAACAAAATTATTTTAAGAGAGTTTTAGTGAATATCTATAAAATTAATAAACAATTATTTTAACAAAGTTGATAAATTTTAACTATTTATAGTAATGCTTAAAAATATTACATTATTTGAATATAAATTTTAAAATAGCATTAATCATAACAAATCTATTCAATAGTATAAAAATTATTGTATAATAATATGATAAAAAATTTTAAATACTTGATTTTGATCATTTATATGATTTTTTTTAATTAATTTTTAAAAAAAATTAATCCAATTACATTAAAACTTTGGTAAATAATTATTACTATTTTATATAATTACCATTAGCTTTAATTATATTATTTACGAGTTGGCATAATATCAATCAACTTTTTGCATATATCAGATTCCAATTTAACCCAAATTTTTTGAATTGTATCTTACAAATGATCTTGTATTTTAACAGGTATTTAAGCTATTTTAAATAATAGTCTATTTTATTTTAAAAGTGTTTTATTAGATTAAAGTTAGGGGACTGTACTGGTTAATCAAGAACTTTAATCCTATTATTTTTAAATCATTATTTAGTAAGATTTGCAGTATATTTAGAATTATTATTTTATTTAAAAATATTATTATCTTTATTTATTCTATACTACTTAATTGTTTCTAAAAGGTCTTCCTTCAAAATTTAAATGATATAAATTACCATTCATATGTCTATAAATTTAGTATATATTACCAACCTCATCAGAAGTAAAGCATCCTCACATCATAATATTATCTACTTAAATTTGACTATTAGTTTAACATGATGATTGTATAATAGTTCATTTGGTTTTTTCCAATAATATTCTCTACCATCTGACCCATAAATCATGAATTTTGACTCATCTGATCAGATAACTTTATTCCAATTCTCTACTGTCCATGATTTGTATTTTTTAGTAAATTTTATACATGCTTTTTTGAAGATATGGCCTTTTATGCTTAATTCTTGCATTCATTCTATTTCTATGTAAGATTCTCTTGATTATACATTCATTAACTTCAATTTGTTTTCTGTTTTTAGTTTTTTTTTGGATTGCAATAGGATTAGTACATTCACCAGTTACAATTAGTCTTAGAACTTTTTGTTTATATCAGTCAGTTAAGAATTACAAATGTCCAGATTTAGTTTCATCTTTAAAGTTATCAGTTTTATCTTTATATTGCTTGATTCTTATTACAGTTGATTGGAAAATATTTTCCTTAATTACTATATAGTAGGAGGAATAACCTTTTTCAAATAAGATACAAATCCTAACTCTTTTTTCAACAGATAAATAAATCAGATTCTTATAAAATTACGAAAGGCAGAAAATGCATAAAAAATTGCAAATAATTGTTGATATTTATTTCTTAGATTTATCAAAATAATTGCATCGCCAATTTTGAAAAGCTTTATATTATAACAAAAGAATAAATATTTTTATTTTTTAAAAAAAAAGATAAAGTAGATTGATAAATTATGAGGTGACGAACTCATTAATTAAAGTTTTATAACACTTCGCCTTTTTAATTATAGGATATTGCATTCAGGTGATGCAATACTTTTGAACGCCACTATATATATAATCTAATGATATTAATACTTAAAAATATCATATACAGTTGCATATGTACAGTATATATAGGTGTCAATATAACTCAATCTGAATATATTAACCTTATTCGAATAAATGGCTTTATTCAAATAAGATTGTTATATTTAAATAATAAGATCTTATTCAGATTATTTACTGAATAATTATTCAGAAAAATTATTTATTTTATTCAAATAATTAAGCCAAAATTGAAGAATGACAATAACGCAAATTGTTATGTTTCACTTGTAAATTTTTATTGTCAAGCGCTTTATCTAGTTTCTACGGAAGTTGCCTCAATTGTATATAGAACGTTCACCCAAACGATCAATAAATTCAAAATTAGTTTGCATCTGCAAAAATAGAACAATCTTTTGATCATTCGTCTAAAGACTGCGACGCGTTCGGTTCACGTGACGAGCCGATCATCAAATAAAATAAAACAAGCACATGGACCAATATGGAATTATAATAAGAAGCAAGTTAATTTGATTCCTCTAACAAAATAGGACTTTATTAGGTAATTGAGCTGTGGCTTTATTTAATCCGGAATTTAATATTATAAACGCCAACTTTAAATTAAATGTAATACAACAAACCGAATTTCAAAAAAAGTAATTCATACAAGATTTACTGATGTTTCTCAAAATGAACAAGGTGGCAACACAACAATAAACAAATAATCCGATAAATTTGCTGAGATGATCAAAAAAAAAAAAATCGTTCGATTTTCCAGAACCAATTCAAAAAAAAAAAAAAAGGATAATGATACAATATCCTTTCTTGTCAAAAGGGCTTGTTTGGATATTGACAATATTGTTTTCACTAAACAAAAATGTTGTGGACAAAATTAAAGTTTTTAATTATTCAGCATGAATTAAAAAAGGGGGAGCAAATTAATAAACAAAATTTTGGGGTGACAGATTTTTTGTGTTCAAATTTTTGAATCCAGAATTCTGTCGGCTGTTCGGGATCAAAGAACAATGAATTGACAATATTGTATTCATCTATATTTATAACTAAATTTAACATGGTAATACAGCTAGCCAATTTAAAATGTTTATAGTCAAATCTATATTCCTTTTTTAAAGACGGAAACCTCCGTTCTAAGCATTTTACTTTTTAGGAATTTCCTTTCTTGTGATGAAAAAATCGAACCATTTTCATTTTTGGATAATTGAAGATAATGTGCCATTTGAATAACTTTATATTTTCTTTTATTATAGATAATTGGCTTCCGCCTTTACGCCTCCTTTAAAATAAAGTGTATGATCGTTTTACCTAAATGGTTTTTTTTTTTTCGCAATAATGCGATTGTTGTCCGTTTAAACAGCCAAACCACATATTTAGAATTGCATGAAAAAAAAATCCTTTTTTGAACTTCAAAAAAGAGGGAACCGCCAAAAAAAAATCCTTTGGTTATATTAAGAAAAAACCCGAAAGATTCTAGAAATCAAAAAAAAAGACTTCCATTATGCTACCATCGGAATAAATTATCCGTCTATCCGACTTGTCACACAAGCCTATAAATAGTCACACAAGTTTTTAACGAGTTTTAAAGAATTCAAAACCAAATAAAGCTCCTTAATGGTTAATCCTTGTCCTTATTATTACTTATTATTCTCTTTCTCATATGCTATTTCTTGTAATTGTGATGACAAATTAGGTTTGATCAGCAAATTCTTACTTTTCTAGTTACCATGAATTCAAAAAAAAAAAATAAATGTGTTGTGTTTCTATAATTTTCTTTGTTTCTTCAAAAGATACCTTTTGTGTAAAGTAATCATAACTTGATTTTTTTTGCTATCTAATCACCTTTTGACTTAAAAAAAAATTTTATTCCGAAGTAACAAACAAAGCAATTCCGATCCCATGTAAAAAAAGTTTAATGTTTGATAAGAATAAATTTTATTATTTTTTTTTTTTATTAATAATTAGATTAATTTTATTTTGCGACATAATTTTTTTTAAATATTAAAAAAATATACATATATGTGAGTCTAAAAGAGTAAAAAAAAATTATAATTTCATATTGTAAAAAATGTGTTCGATTTTGATCAAAAAAAAGTAAGTTGGCAAAAACTTAAAATGCGCGCATTATTTGGAAGAAGAGAAAAAAAAAAAGAAAGAAAGAAAGATCGATCATAATAAACAAGATACTATGTACATAAAACATAAAAAAAAAATAAAACAAGGAGCAAAAAACCTTCCTTTGGGAGGGGATATTAAAAATAAGGGAGAGTAAATATATATATATACACGATTTTTTTTCTTTTCTTGTAACCGGATTATAAATGCTCTATCCACAAGAATTTATTAAGCAGGTGATTGTATTTTAAAAATTTTCGAAACCTTAATTTGTTATCTTATTGTTTTTTTTTTGTTTGTTTGGGGGTTTTTTTTTGATTTATCCTTTTGTTAATCATGATTTGTTTTATTTATTTTATTTTATTTTATTAGTCCATTCTTGTGGGTGTATGTTTAGGTTATATCGACGATGTTTCATAAGTATTATAAGCGCCTTCTTTTGTCGATTCACTCTTCACAGAAATTTCACCATCAACGTAACTTTTTATCGGTGATGAAGTATTTTTTTGTTTTGTCGAAGATTCATCAATTTTTTTATCATCTCCAATGTTCGGAGAAGTCATCTTTTTATTATTCTTCGTCGTGTTGTTGCATCCCTTTACGAGGATGTGCCTTTTAAGCGCGTCCTTCCGACTAAATTGTTTATCGCAACACTGGCATGGGTAAGGTTTTACGGCCAAGTGAATGCGTTTATGGCGTTTTAAATCGTGATTACGATTAAAACCTAAAATTAAAAATAAATAAAAAGAGATTAGTTTCAAATCAAAAAAAAAAGGAATTTTGAACAAAATGAAATATTTTTTTAAATGCTTACTTTGTGGGCATTGATCACATTTGAATGGTCTATCATATAAAGGTAGGCGAGAGTAATAACTTCTTGGCGGACCACTGTAATATGTTGGTGTTGTTGGTGACGCGGCAGTCTCGAGTGATGGAGATGAGTGCGTGGAAGAAGTTTTCGTTGACCAAACCCCCGATGATGATGGGGAATTTCTCTCAAATAATGGTAAATGCATGGTATTATTATTATTATTATTAGCGGTGTTGCTGTTGCAATTTGAATCTTGAGCGAATGTCGGTGTCATGAACATTTGAGGAGCGATAGAAGTTGTGACAGTGAGGGGCAAAGGTGCCGCAGTAACATTTTGTTGTCTTGAATAATTGTTTGTAGCTCCGATCACCGAAATTGATTTTTGATGGTGGGCTTGGGCATTTACTCTTCCAATCGAAGTGGGAACGGTATCATGATAGATCTCCCTTTGTGGCAAGTAATGATGACTGGGAGTGAAATCGGTACCAGCGGCTATCAATTGAGCGGTAGTAGTATTGGAGGTCATCCTCATACGAGGATGTGATTGAGTTTGAAAATTTCCAATGTAACCGCCGGTATTTCGAGAGCCGTTAAGATTATTAGTTTCGGTCGCCAAATTAGAAATGATAGGATTCGCCTGAGGAGGCAATGAGGAAGGAGGAGAGTAATAAGACGCGGATTGTAAAGACGACGACGTAGCGGCCGGTAGAGCAAAATAATTTGTTGAGGGTTCAACAAACGAAGGAGTTGTAACATCAGGTTGTTGTAACATGGCCGCTTGTTGAGCCGAGGCTTCATCAACGAACTGATGATGAAATGTTGTGGTGGAAGTCATGTCGTTAAAATGTCGTGACGAGGAAGTACTTGAGTTTGGAAGACCCTGAGCTGATTGTTGATAAGGTTGAAGTGGAAAAGTCATTTCGAAAATGTTGGTAGGCCAATTTTGTATGTCCAAAAAATTGACGCAAGCTGATAAAGGTCGAGCAATAAATTGTTCACCTGTTAAATCGAAACCGCCAAATGACGCCGAATTAAAGTCTAGATTGTTTGCTGAGGTTGTTAGACTTGGCGTGGTGGTAGCGAAAGAACTAGGTGAAGGAGTAAAATATTGTTGTTGTTGTTGAAAGTGAACAGGACAATCCAGGTGTTGGTCCAAACTCACAGAATGTGCGACGACATCAATCATATTGAAAAATGGGAGAATGGGCACTTTTTATGCGAAGACTCTTGATCCTGATGACGAATCTGGAACAATAATTACTCAAATAATCGTTAAAAATTGAGTCTTGAAAAATTTTGGCATACAGAGGGTCCCTGCCTTCTTTTTTATATTAGAGTCAAGATCCCCCAACTGCTAGTAAAAGAATGGTCCTATTTATAGTTGTACCAATGATTTTTTTTTTACAAAAAAAAGATTATAATATAAAAAATGAATATATAAAAAAAAAAAATGTCCGATTTTATTAGTTTATTTGATTATAAATAAAAAAAATTTTTTTTAAATTCCTATTATAACTAGTTATTATAATCCCCCTTAAAAAAAAAAAAAAAAAAAAAAAAAAAAAAAAAATGGAAAAAAAAATATACAGTAATCTACATTAAAAAGACAATATAAATTATTTTTTTTTGTGTGATACAATATAACTATATCTATATATATTATATAAAGTAGTCTATTTATTTATAAATCCTACTTCCTGTCAAAAAAAAAAAAAAAAAGATTTTTATATACAATAATATAA